AGCTTCGGGTTACGGGTTAAGGGTTTGAACAGGGTATAGAATTTGGAATTTAGGGTTTAGGGTCTACTAGTAGAGGCAAAGGGTTTAGAGTTAAGGGGTTAAAGTTTAGGGGTTTAGGGCTTTTTGAGCTTCGCGGCTTGAGCTTTCGGGCGTCTTGCAGTCTTGCCAGCTGTCAAGGTCCGCTTCTCGATGTTCCAGCACAGTCTGGCATTGAAGTCATACCTTAACCCTGAATAACCTGCTTTTTTGGGGGGTTCCTTATTACGATTTCACTATCTTGGCTGACTTCTGAACCCCTCCTAAAAAGTTAAACTTTTAGACTCCGTAATATAGTTAATATAGAAACCCAAAAAAATTAAAGTCCTAAGAGCCAGCCAGAAGAACGCCAAGACTATATAAGTCCTAGAAAATGTAGCTTCTTCGAGGTTAAGGTAAGGTCTCGGGAGCCCAAAACCACAAGAGGGACCCGCCTTCAGCGTTAAACACAAAAAGAAGCAGCATTCTCATTGCTATGATGTTATGATTACATCTTTCGTTCGTATGATTCGAAGTATTCTGAGGTTATACTTAATCATGACAGCAGTAGCAATAGTCAGAATTGTACTGGTGCTATTGCTGAAAACCCTAATGTAGGGGTTCTACTGTACTTAGAGGAACCCCCGAAAACCCGATTCTACTTATTAAGGCCTCTATAGTAATCTGAGACCCGGCCTGCGGTACTGCTTTCGGAGGTTGGCTGTATCCACTTGCGCCTCGTTTGCAAACACCCGATGCTGTGGAGTACAACCCAAGGCAACCACAAAAAAGGTCCGAGGGCAAAGTTTAGGGTTTGCCGGGATCCTAAAGAAACCACCTTAATTTATGAACAGCTATATAAGGAAATCCTGTTAACGAACCCTAGAAAGGAAGGTCTTATAGGGTCCAGGCAAGGTTTAGCGTCTTACGGGCTTTAAGAGCTTTTAGCTTAACAAGGCTTCTGCCTGGAAGTCTTTTCCCGGGAAGTCTTTTCCCGGGGTTGAATTTGCCTTGACCCCGTGACCATCAACCTGATCCTCTAAATCCACCTGGGGGTTTCCGAACATTTGAGGGGGTGGGGGTACTGTTTTTTTATTGTCCTTATAAGAAGGATCCTACTATTTAGGGTACCATATTAGGGTCCCCTATTTTCGGAAACTCGCACCTGAATTCTTGCAAACGGACCCGGCTTCAAGTCTAGAATCTAAAATGGCACTGTGCTCAGGGCTTACATGCACCAAACATGGCTAACAGCGGCAGCCATGAAGCCCACAAAAGGCCCCTTGCATAATAATCAAATCTTCGAGGTTTGGATTTAAGGCTTAGGGATGTAAGCTTTAGGGCTTGAAGGGCTATGGCCCGAAACCCTTCCCAAACCACTTAGAGTTGGGCTTGGGCCCAAAACCCGACACCCCTAATCCCCAACCCAAAAAGAACCCTACAAACGCCCTAAAGCCCAACCCCCTAAACCCTAAACCCCACACAACCCGAAACCCCTAATCATCAACCCAGAAAAGCACTAAACCCTAAACCCCTAATCAGAAACACTGCACCCTAAAGCCCTAAACCCCAACCCTTAAACCCCCGAAAACACTCACCCTAAAGTAAAAGCCAGAAAGTTGGAATATGATTATCCTAAACCCTTTATGGTAAATTATAAGGTATCCTACCCTGAAACCATATTCCAACTTTCTGGAGTTCCCTTTAAGCCCTCAAGCCCAGACCTCCGGGAGGCCCAAGGTGGCGAAGTGGCCCCGAGAGGCCAAGATCCGCTCTGCCGCCTCACTTGGACTAGGCCTTATAAAGAGCTCCTTTAAAAGGGTTTAGGGTTTAGGGTTTAGGGTTTAGGGTTAGACCCAAAAGTAACCCAGGAATAAAAAGGGTGCCCTTTTTGTTTTAAAGGGGCTTGTAAGGGAACCTGAACCCTAAAAAAGGGAATAAGGGCCGAATCATTAAAGGGCTCCTTGAAGAGACCCTTTCAAGAGCTCCATTGCAAGGTTCCTCTAAGGCTCTAAGGGTTGCTTTCAGGGGCTCCTTTCAAGGGCACTTTAAAGACTGCGTTCTTGTAAAGGGATGTAAGTTAAGTTACCTTAATAGGGATCTAGAGCAGGTAATATGGGTTCTTCACTGTGCAACAAGAACAGGAGAGCTCCTTCAAGGTTCTTCTAAGGGTTGCTTTCAGTGGTTCCTTTAAGGGGGTCCTTTAGTGATTACCGTCAAGGGCCTTTAAGGCGTACCCTTTGAGGAGTACCTTTCAGTCCCTTGGCGCTCTGAGCCCTGATGAAATTTCAGTGGATATTCCCCTAAACCCTAAACCCTAAACCCTTGGTTCAGGGTTAGGGTCGGTGTCCCGGGTCTTGGAGGGCTTAGGCTTCAGGGCTTGGGGTTTAGGGCTTAGGGCTTAGGCTTTACTTGGGGCTTAGGGCTTAGTGTTTAGGGGCTTAGGGTTGTGGGTTGAAAGGTCTGTTGGTATAGGATTGGCTTGGAGGATTTGTTGGGTTAAGGTGGTGGTCGAGCATGTCCCTAAACCCCAAAAACTCTAAACAGGCCTCGGCGGCGTCCCCTGCGACCGCTTCTGCCATTGCGAGGACAGCGCAAAGACCGAGCAGGGTGCAACGGAGGTTGAGGACTCCAGGGGCTCGCATTTGGTTTTGGATTTGTTCTTGGGTGTAGGGCTTAAGATCTTTCTCTTCAGGGCTAAGGGTTTAGGATTGAGGAGTCAGGGTTTAAGGGTTTAGGCTGTAGGGTTAAGGGTTTAGGATCTAGGGCGCAGACTTTCGTTTCGGGCTTAGCGTTTCGTGGCTTTGCAGGCCTAGCTTTCCGAATTTCGAGCCTGTGTGCTGCTGGGTGCATGATACAGGGGCCTCTATAATTAGAATAGGGTTTGGGACCCATTATGCTATAGTACTACAGTTACAGTAAGGAACCTTAGAATTCTCATTCTCTGCTCAGAGGCTCCATTTTTGAAGCTTCAGGCTCGAGGACACTTTCCAGTCTGCATCTGGGGAAGGGGATTCCGGACGGAGTGTGAGAACATAAAAGGACCCGCTACCCTAAACCCTAAACCCTGAATCCTACAGCCCTAAACCCCAAACCCGAGACCCTAAATCCCTCAACCCCTAAACCCCTGAACCCTAAAAAGCCTTTCAGGGCGCAAGCATTCGTCTGGGCTCTTCTCTTGGACAGGATTCGGGCATAGCGCTTAGGGCCGTCAAGCCCTGATGTAGCGGCTTAAATAATTACCTATGCTATTTTGGGGGCTCTTTATTAATAATGATAGTTTAATGGGCCCGAAACCCTATTTTACTAATTAAGGCCCCCAAATTACACAGCTTGAATAGGTTTGAAACGACTTAGAACAATCGCCGAATATGTTGTGCAGAATGTGCTCCCAACCCAAAGGCAGACCCCTAAACCTTGAACCGTACTATGGCAACCAAATTAATATTGAAGATCACGTAACCTCAAACGCCTCCTTCCTGAGACTGGCATTGGAAATCACACCGTAAGAAAAACACACCATGGGGTTTGAAATGGTTTGAAAGTTCAGGTCCACGCGTTTTAGGGTTATAGGCTTGAGGTGATGCACCCTAAACCCTAAACTACCCCCACTTAAACCCTAAACCCTAAACTACTCCCACTTAAACCCTAACCCTGAACTACCCCACTGAAACCCTAAACCCTAACTAAGATTTAGAGCGCAGGGCTGAGGGACCCGATCTCGGGCAGCTACCGAGATCCTCGATCCGATTTGAAGCCAAGGGCACCTCGGCCTCGACCTCAGGACTCACGTCTTGAAGCTGCAGTCCTATCTAGTAGGTGGTAAGTAGACTTATAAGTACCCTAAAAGGGACAATAATTGGGGTTATGGTACTTATAAGTCCCTAAATAACCAGTTACTAAGTCCCCTGACCCTCCAAGTAGGGGTTCAGGTTCTAGGGTCTAGGGCTTCAGATTACGGGAGCCATGAGGGTTCTACACCGATTTTCGGGTTAGGGTCCGTCGATGAATGGAAAACAACAGAAGCTTTTGCCTCGCCCATCCTGATAGATTTCAACTTCGCAGTTTGCGGATGCAAGGGTTTAGGGTTTAGGAGGGGGAGGAGGGTTTAGGGTTTAGGTTTAGGAGGGTTTAGGGTTTAGCGTCCATCTCTCTCAAGCGCACGCCAAGGGCCCCGACAGAGCAGCTGCGGGCACCGCCGGCAGGGCCATCGCTGCGGGGCGCCTCGACCCTTGTTAATGTTGTGGAACCTACCCAGAGACCCCAATACTCCTTAATTAGGGAGTATACCTTAAATCATAATATTAAGGCCTCTATTATTTAAGGAATATTCCTCAATTAAGGGCTATTGGGATGCCTGGGTACCTAGTTAAGCTGACATGGCCGTCACAGCGCTCTTGATAAGAGGCCGCATATCTTTTATATACAGCACCCGAAGCCGTCGTTCGACTTCTCGGAACAGCCTGGAACCGGCGCATGTGCGGAGGCCGGGCAAGTAGACAAGCTCGGTGATGGAAACAATGGTGCAAGTTTCAAGCGCGCAAAGGAACTCGACCCATGCTATCGAAGCAAGGGAACGATCTAGAATCTGTGCCTTGATTAACACTGCAAGCCTATTCCCCTGCTCTCCGAAAAGCCCGCGAGCCAACATCTGGACTAGATAGAGATCTACACTTTTCCAAGGCGGAGAGTCAGCTGGCGCACGGCTATGGAAAATCCTCGGACTGGTTGTGAACCAACCTCCCCCGAAACCCTAAACCCTGAACCCAAATTCCCAAACCCTACACCCCGAACCAAAACTCCTAAACCCGAAACCATAAGTTGACCGATCACCAGCCACAGAGACACAAACCCTGTATCCTCCTGACGGTTTCGGGTTTAGGATTTAGGGACTCCTCAAACACCCTCACCTAAGCGCATAAATGTTTAACCAAGGAAACTGAAAGAACCAGTCTGGGCCCTTATCAGATGCTAGGACCCATGTGTCACATCTCCCAGTTGATGCTTCCGTGCCGGACCCTTTGGAAAATTCTGGCGCGGTTCGCAGCCATCTCGGCAGGGAACCAAGCACCTGGCGGCACCTCTGCGCGGACAAAGCGGAAAGTTTCTATTTACACTGTATGTGAACGGATATAGGTATGTACGCATGTACGCATGTATGTGTATCTGAGTATGCATGCGTATGTGTATGTGTATATATACGGGTTCATTTGCACATATATTTAACAACTACTCAAGCGCAGTGTGTATGCATACACATAATATCAATCCATATCTATATCTACATCTATATCTACAAATATATCTATATCTATATCTCTATATATATATGTGTGTGTATGCACATACCCAGTAGTAGATGATGTTAACGTCTAGGCTTGGGCTCTGACCTCGTCCGGCTACCAGGCGGCTGAATCTCAAAATCCTGAGATCAACCATGCGAGAAATACGTAGCCATCCTCAGCAGTGTCCGTACGACACGTAAAGCCCAGCCAAGAAAACATAGCCATGCGATGCAACAACTATTGCCAATGGCTTTTCTACACATGCAATACACTACGAAACAACGTCAACCCCTGGCAAAAAAAACACATAGTCTCATGAATAACCTACGACCTAGCAAAAAAGCCACATGAGCAGTATGTGGCATACTTCGAATCATAATCATGAACACGGGGTGCGATCCTAGTTGTCAACTACCCCCAAAAAAAGCATGCAACACCTCAAACCCTAATGCCGACTCCAAAAGCCAAGGCCGCTAGCCATAACCCGACACAACAAGCCCAAAACCTAAGCCCCAAAACCCAAAACCCCCAACCTCCAGAACATCACGCCTTGGTGGCATGCCTTTTCGTGTGTTCGTGTTTTCACTTGCACTCTCGGATGGCAAGCTCAGCAAGCTCTTCGCTTCCCGCAACATTGTTTTAGCAGCATACAACATTTTACGACGTGTTGTGAACTGACAACAAATTCCACCAAACCATTTGAAAATGCGAGGGCATAACCGAACACCGGTTGGAGAGAGATAAAGCTATGGGACAAACTTTCAAGGACATAAAGGCATGGCCTCAAGGTGTGGCTCTAGGCGTTGGAGTATGGAGGCCTGGAGGCCTGGAGCCGTGGGGGAGGGGGGGGCGCCAAAAAAAAAAAAAAAACTGGTGAGCATTTCTCGGGGCGCCCCCCCCCCCCCCCCCCCCCCCCCCCCACTCCCAGGGGCCTTCTGGACGAGGGCGCATGTCGGTAAGCAGAGGATGCCTGGGGCCTTCGGCCTTTGGCACTCCCAATCCAGTGTTGCTCAATCATTTCAGGGTTTCCAGTATGCCACCAATCCTGTCCTGTCCTATCCAATGACAATGAAACATCCCTCTGTCAAGACTTTACGCTTGCTATTGTTGTCCACCACCTAGGAAAGCGGCTCCAACACCTGAAAACTGTGACATGGGTTACTGATGACACTCATACATGACAGAGGTATGATGGGTATTTCATTCTACACAGTAAAAGTATGATGGGAATAAGATCCTTGTACCGCGACCCAAGTTCAGAAGGAGTTATTGGGTCTCGAACCCAAATGCATATGATGGTCCTAACCGTCTCAAGAGATGCTGGGTGGCGAACCCAAAACCTTAGACTGAAAATCGTCATTGGCTTCCAACATTCTTGGACATCGTAGAAGATATTGGACCCTCACCCGGAAACTTAGACAATGCAGCAAAAATTGCAAGCTACAAAATACTTGTTGCATTTGAGGCGGAACATATATAATTACCTGCAAGCCAACCTTGGTATATAGGTGTTTGTACCTACATATATATATATATGTATATATACACACGTCTGTGTATGCATGTTGGTATATGACATGCAGGCATGCATACACACCTACATATGGATGTGTATGTTTACATACACACATGTTCATGATGTTTCCATGTTCATGCTTTTCCAAAGCTTATGCACAAATGCATATATGCTTAATACATATGTACATACACGGGTATATACGTACATACATAAGTATCACGGAAACATGTGCAATATTTCTGAAATATGCGAACATATGTGTATGCAACAATGAGGCATTTAGGCAGCCATGCACTCAAAGGAAAATGGAGGGCCTCAGGCTCCTATCCCAAACCTCGAATGGGCATGGTGGGTACAGGATGCGGAATTTCAAATCTGTGTGGAAGCACGTCCTCCATACCTGTACATATATACATCTACATATACATGTATATATGTGTGTGTACATATATATATATACATATACATATGCACGTATACAAGTTCATACACTCTCGAAGCCTATGCAACCATATACCAGTTCGTGAACTTTGGAAGCCCATGCACGCGCACTCACATGTATATGCATACATCTATATATAAATATATATATATATATGTATATATACATAGGTTTTCTTGTGATTTCCATTCAAGTACCTGGGTATGTAACCGCAGGGCCACTCTGCAGTTGCACACACGATGTAGATTGGAACCTTGCAAGCATATTATGGGCGGATGACACATGTAGACATACATACACACACATATAGCTTTGTGTGCATCACGGAAATGGGTAATTACATTGTCTTTGGGATTTACATGGAAGTGGGTGGATGATGGCGAACAACAGGTCTTCAATAGAATAACTGATTAACATGCCCCATTACACCGTAAGCTAATCCTTAAAAGGTGTGGCCCACCCAGCCAGAAATGCAAATCACAGTAGGGGATGCTGGGAGACCACCAGAATAAAAACCAGAGTCTGAACACTTTAGTAAATATCACGGGCTACACTTATCCACGAAAGATATATAGTGTGTAGCGAACCTAAGTACCGAAAAGGATGACGTGTGTCCAGAGCATCCAAACTCTACTGGAAGACATTCGGCTGAAACGCAATGCCGCACATGGATGTAATGAGCCAAACCCCCGTGGAAGCTCGATGAGTGGCGGAACCACAATTGGATCCTCAAATCGATGACTGTTTTCCCAAATACAGGCAGACTAGAAGATGTTGCACTCTCAATCCAAGGCTTCAGTAGTAGATGATGGGTAGCAAACCCAAGAACTCTTTCAAAGGTGGCAAACCCCTCAGAGCTTTATAAGTGTAGGAGTGTAGACATTCCTTTCGCCACGGCTTCAGATGCGGTTGTACACATCGATGACGGTCTGCCTGTCAATATAGTCTTTTGCATTTATGCTGCAGCCCATGCCACAATTTCATTCCCTAGCTAAAGACATGATATATACAACAAGTCACAGGTCAACATTCGTATGCACATGTAAATATACACATTTCCAGAAACACGCATCCATTAAAGTCAGATGCATATGTGGATAGACACCCAGGGGTTGTGATAGGTTCTTAATGATTTTGACATGATATGCCAGATCGCGCACCTCAACTTCAATGGAGATGCTGGATGGCAAACCTCCTCCCTCTTCCCCAACAAACTCCTACTTCGTGACATGCCCAAGACTCAAAATCAAGGGTGCAATGCCTGGATGAGGCAACACAACGCTTAAAATTCTGGGTGCAAAAACTCGTGGGAAAACCTCTAAAATACCGAGAAATACACGCCACCAGGGCGTTGCACCCTCCAGAACCTCAACCCGAATACCCAAATATACCCCGAACATCCTAAACTCCCGAGAAAGCGCAAGCGGTTGATAACACACAAGTCTGAAGGGATCCCGATATGTAAATGCAATCCAAATAACATCCTTCGCAACACCCTAAAGCCTAAAAGCCCTAAAAGCCTCTACACTCCAAAAAACCCTTCAGGCCAAAAAAATAACATGATCCCTCAACCTCAAACACCCCTAAACCCTAAAATCTAAGAGTAAAAAATCCGAGTAAAAACAACAAAACAAAACACGCAAACAAAACACATGTTAAAAGGGCTTTGTTATTGGTGTTGGGTAGCTTTCATAAGGAAGCTAAGACCTAGAAACTTACCTTCGGCTAGTAGGGAATGGAGGAGTACAATTATTACTACGATTACTAGCATTCTTCCATTCCCTACTAAACCAAAGGTAAGTTATAGGATTATTAAGGCCTCCATATTAGAGTACCCTTATAGATCCCGTATAGTAACCCTTATAGACCCCTAACCAAAGGTAAGGATAGTATAACCCTTATAGCCTTATAGGAACCCTTATAGTAGCCCTTAAAGGAACCCTATCCCTCCATTCCCCAACCGGCCCTAAGCAAAGGTAAGAGTAGTTCCTTTTGGGGGATCAGATTTAGACTCCTACAAGGTAATCCCAAAAAGGAATTACTATTCCATTCCCTACTAACCAAAGGTAAGGAAAACTAGGATACCCAGTAACCTAAGAATAAAAAGGCCTCTCTTTTTGGTATTGGGTAACTTTATAAGGAACCTAGGACTACAAAAAGGGAATAAGGGTACTACTGGGCATCCTAGGAAAATAGGGTTTTGGGGCCCATGATAGTTACAATGAGGAACTTTAAGGTCCCTATATTAGGGTTCCTTTACCTGGAATTTTACCTGTTCCGTTAAGGGTACTGTCCGGGTGGGCATCCTAGAAAAGGAGATCCCAGGACCCGGCCTGGCCCTGGAGCACCTCCAAGCCGAAAGCAGCCGTTGCCAAACCCACGCAGTCCTTTCGGGGCCTTACTATTAAGGGGTTTTAGGGGTTTAGGGCTTAGGATTTGGGGTTCAGGGTCTTAGGGGTTGGCGGCTTTAGGGGTTTTCAGGGGGGGGTTAGGGTTTAGGGTTGAGGGTTTAGGAGTGTCAGGTTAAGGGGTTAAATATAGAGCCTTACATACCTGTTATACGGAACCCCCAAAATAGTATTGTTAATTACTTAAGCCCCTATATTAGGGTTTGTGGAGCTTAGGGGTTCGAGGCTCTGGGGCTTGAGGGCTGCGGAGAGTAACATGCTTTTGTAGAATCCGTACAGAACCCTAAGGCCCCAAACCCTCAACTCCGTAACCCTCAACTCCGTAACTCTCAACTCCGTAACTCTCAACTCCGTAACCCTCAACCCTCGAACTCTAAACCCTCAAACCTAAATCCCCAACTCTTCACCCTAAACCCTGAAGCCTCGAGAGTGCCATCCCTGAAACCACAGGCGCTTGGACTGAGTCATGGAGGCTCCTCCAAGTCCGAGTGCGTGATTCGCAACCTTGGGGTTTAGGATGTCGGGTTTCGGGGGTGAGCGCTCTTTCGTAGCCGTAGCATAGGGGCTCCATAGATCGAACTGCTTTGGGGGTATGTGCTCGCATACTTCTGAGGGTCGAAAAGAGCAAATTGCCATTGTTATGCATGGTTATCACCACAACCAGACTGCCGCTACAATAATCATGATTAGCATTAGCATTAGTATTAGCACTGGTAGTAGTAATAGTATTAGTACTCGTAGTAATAGTAACAGTGATAGAATTATCACTGGTACTGGTGGTGGTAGTAGTAGTAGTAGTAGTAGAAGTAGTAGTAGTAGTAGTAGTAGTAGTAGTAGTAGTAGTAGTAGTAGTAGTAGTAGTAGTAGTAGTAGTAGTAGCGTTGGTAGTAGTAGTTGTATGACTGTTAGACTTCATACTTGTGTTAACATCAGTATCAGTGCTAGCAGTAGTATCAGTATTGAAATCAGTATCAGTAATAGTATTGGCAGCAGCATAAGCAATACTTCTTACTATGATTATGGCGAGCATTTTGTTGATCTTATTGCACGTCACTATGAGTATGCTATTATTTCTGCTATTGCTGTTGCTGCCGCTATCGGCGCCGTTATTGCATGTGTGTCTTCTCAGTGTTGTTCTTGGTCTTAGCCTGACCATTAGCACCACTATGGCTATCATCACATTTAACATTAGTATTACTGAGACCAGTGTTACAATAACTGCTGTTGCCAGTACTACAATGACTGGTATTGTCGTGTTAATAACCAGTTATGTTCTTGCCATTGTATGAGCTGTACTTCTGCTGTTGTGGCCGCTGTACTAATTATCATTGCAACTATGGTTATTAGTGCTGTTGATATTGCTATTGCTAGTGTTATTGCTATTATTGGTATTGGTAGTGCTATTGGGATTGGAACTGATCTTGGTCTTGGAATTGGCAATTGCATGGTCACTGCCAGTGTTGTTATTGGCATTGCTAGCGTTATGACCTATCTGTAGTCGAATTTAGATTTGGTGGTTGTCAATGTTCTTCTTATACTGAATGTACTGTCATTGCTACAAATGTTGTATGACTATTGTTGTTACAAACTTTTTACGACTACCATTGTTGTTGTGCTAATTGATATGAACTATGAACAACTTGGAAATCATAAGTTATCACGACAGCGACCACCGTCCAACACCACAACTCATTAGCATTGCTATTTGCATTTCTCCTGGCCTTTCACTCCTGCCTCAGACAAGTATTATGAACAGATCCCAGGAACGTCACGGCCTCGCCCGTCTCGCTTCGAGCGTCCACGCGCATCGCATTCGTGGCCCCCACCAACCTCTTGGGTTCAATTTAAGGGGGTTTAGGGCTTGTTGGGGCCTAGTGTTTTTTTTTTTTTAAAGTGTAGTGGCCCTTTCTCCATACGCATACAGGTCACAGAGCCTGCCTCGAAAAGAGACTTACACCTGGCCTAGTGTTTAGGGTTTAGTGTTGAGAGGGACTTTGGTGGCTCAGGGTTTAGGGTTAGGGTTTAGCGGGTCATAGGGGTTTGCGGCTTAGAATTTAGCGTTTGGGGTTGAGGGTTTTGGGTTTTGGGGTTAGGATTTGGGGTCTGGTTACCATTCCACTGTTGTTGCCCATCTACTTCTTGTTACCATGACGACTGCGATACTGATGAGTTGTGTCAAACTGGGATCTCCATCGTGACTATGATGGCGCTTTCCCAGTGAAGGCTTGGAATCAAACCACACCAGAAGCCCTAAACCCCAACCTTCAAACTCCAAAACCTACTAGCAACTCCAAAACCCCGAACCCGCAGGTGCACGAGAGATGAAATAATCTGCCTCAATAGTGTGAACAAGTTTTTGGAGTATATGATCGTATGAATCCGTATGAATAAACAAGAAGCCTATACTGAACAGCATCACTACTTGGATTTATCCCGACCATAAACCCTAAGGAACAGCGTTCTTCATTCTTCCTACCCCCATATTAAATGTGATCCTCTGGCAGCAGAGAAGTGAGCACTTCCAGGCCCAAACAGCATGGTGGTTTAGGGTGTAGGCTTTGGGGAGCCTAAACCCCCAACCCAACTCGTGGTGGACATGGTGTTGGCGTAACAGGGAAAACTTCCAGGGCTTTAAGCTGTGATTCAGCTTCGCGGTGGAGCTGCTTTGGGTTAGGTGTCAGGGTATTTTTGAGAACCCTACACCCTAAATCCTAAACCCGATTTAGGAATGTAGAACCGCAATGCTCGGCAAACAAGGAAGACTAGCGCTCAACACGCTGGAAGCTTTCAGACCTCCGAGCTTTAAACGGCCTTTGCCTCTGGCCTTTTCCGGGGTTTAGGTTCATGGTTTAAGGGTTTAGGGTGAGAAGAGTTTGATCAGGCTCGACAGTGCAAAAAAGACGCGTGATCCAAATCCTAGAGCAAGGTCCCTCGACCCTCCAACCTGTCGACGGCCGAGATGATGGGCATCGAGAAGTTCGCCACTCCCTGCATGAGGCCACGGTTCCTGCGAGACCAGACTGGGTGGTGGTTAGAAGTCCAACGGCTGGCTCTGAGCAGGCTTGTACCGGGTTTCGCGGGTAGGGTAGGGCTCGAAAAGCATTGCACCTGACAGCTCCGCTCCGAGTCTAGCCGAGCCAGCTAGCTAGGCAACACACCTTGCCAATGGATAATCTCGGACAGGCTCTCTGACAGGCCTACCTAACCCGAACAAGAAACCCTAAAGCCTAAACCCATCATGTGATAGGCGCTCCTACTAGGGTTGAGGGCATCGGAAACTCAGGGCAAGGACAAAACCTGCCGGTAGAATCTCATGGGTTAAGACTGAAACCCGAAAACCTCAAAGCTTAAACCTTGAAGCCCAAAAGGATAAACCGCAAAGCCAAGCCTCCAAGCTCAAATCGTTAATAAGCTCAACACCTAAAGCCAAACGAATCTAACCTCGACCGCAACCCCAAAACCCTAACACGCAAAAAACTGAAACATGAAACCTTGAAGCGCCCCCTCCCTTTCCCGCAGCCGCCCCAGTGCAGTCCCGAGAACCGACTTCGGAAGGATCCGCACGGCACCTCGGCGGATCATCAAAGGACTCTGCGCAGCGGCCTCCCAGATGTGGCTAAACCATTCTCGCCTCCCCTCCCGGGCCATCTTGCAGCTCAATTCCGAAGTACCGACCTCAACAAAAGCATGACACAGAGGGCATTTGCCGCAGCACCTTCCATAGAGTAGGAATCAGGAAAGCGTCTCAGGAATAGGGGGCTTGTTGTGCTGGGCCAGAGATGCTTTGGGCTGGAGGCTGGAGAACCTGCCTCAATAAAATCACAGAGGCAGCACAAGCAATCTCTCACAGCGATAGCTCGATATCAAGAAAACCAAGCACAGCAAGTTGAAACTTTGTTGCCGCACGGGTTCCATCGCTGGGCCACTGTGGCTTCATTCGCCATAAAGTTCAGGCAAAAAAACTCACTCGACGTCGTTGGCCATCTGTCCTCTCAAGCTCTTGCTAAGTTTCATGAGTTCCTCATACATTGCCTGCGTCGAACGGCACTTCGATGAAGCAAGTTCTGTTAAGCTCTCCACATCAGCCAGGGCACACTTAGACTCGCGGAGTGCCAGAACACTCACGGTCGATGCTCCGAGACCGCAAGCGCTCGAAGATGCTCCCACTGTTGCACTAAATGGGTAGCCACGCTCCACGCACGGCCCAAGCAAAAATCCCTATCCCCGCGATAGCTGTCACCATCCCCGCGAGGACAGCCAGTCTGGAGCGAGTCTGCTCATCTTCTAACTTTTTCCCAGATCTTTGATATGTGGATGAAGTCTCGGTGGAGCTCCTTGAACTTATTCATCTCACGCTGCAGTGCGACATCTTCCTGCAGCTCGATGTCCATGTCCTGCTCGATGTCGAAGTCCTGGTCCACCGGTTTTGCAGGAACCCCAACGCAAAGCTGCTCCACAAATCGGGCGCATCCGGACCAGCAGGTAACATCAACAGGCCCTTTGGAAGTCTCGAACCCATCCTGATTCGAGGCTTTGAGGTGTTCGATATGACGATCGATCCTTGCTGTCAGCTTCGCAGATAGACGGCTAAGAGCATCTTCGAACTCAGCTAGTTCTGGCAGCTCCGATTTCAATCTTTCGACTTGAGAAAGGGACCGCATGGCGGCGGCCAACGCAGCCATGGCGATTGCCAAGTTAAGGAGTCCTGGTGCCACACGGCACAAGACTTTTGACATGTCGATCAAGGTTTTGACAGATCGCGAACATGATGTGTCAATGCCATGCGCTGCAGCAGACAGCATCTGCCTGCAAGACTTGCAAGACTTACAACCGCCCGGCGTGGCGACATGCTCGTGCACATGCATTGTGTAGTTGTTCTCCAACAGCCACTTCTGTAAGGGAGCACTTGCTCCACACTTGCCATTGATCGGCGACTTGAAAAAGTGAATGTGCGGCTTATACCCATACTCTTCCCGGAGAACAAGGTCCTTGGAAAGTTGTTGGATTGTTCTCTGGCTGAGCGACAGCTTGCCAACCTTGGATTCATGAATCTCCGCACAAGCCGTGTCCAAAACATCAACGACACGGAACTCTCCAGCATCGGTCTTGGTCCAAACCTGCCTATCCAATGTCCACGCTCAAGAAATTGAAGTTCAATGCCTTGAGCATGGACATTGGATAAGGCATCGGCCAGGAATTTCTCTGCATCTTTGCCTACTCGTGTGTTCGTGGCCACATCTGCTAGCGGGCCCATCCTCGCTGGCCCCGAAAGCCCACACTTGAGAGAACAGCTCCAGCACATCACGCAACACGTCTCAAATGTAGCGGCATCAGAAGCTTAGTAAATCACACAACTGCAACCAGAGAGGCTGAATCTTGGGAGTGCAAAACGCAAAAAAAGCAAGGTGCGCCAACTTATTTTCGTCATAGCGACCGTGTAACCCCGAGTGGCCGTTGTATTGAAGTCAGAACAGAGTTTGCTGCACGTCAATGTGTCAGGGGAGCCTCAGGATTATCAATTTGCTGAGCTGCAGGTTTAAGTCATAACCTCCATGCATGCAGAAACTGATTTTTGTCTGCGTCTTCATGGGTCTTCACTTCGGAGTTGATATGCGCAACCGCTCTCCCCTTTTTTTGCATGTCAGCGCGTGCCTTCTCCATGTCAGAGCTTATTTTGTCTATGTCGGCGCCTTGTTTGTTGCATGTCGGCACGTGTTTTTGGCATGTCGGCGCACATGTCGGCGGGTCTTCTTCCTCTAGCTACTGTACTGTCAAATTCCCCCAACCGACTCTGGATCATTCCGCCTGCATTCCTTGAGTTCCTCATAGGAGCCTCTCTTTTCTATTTAACTTTGTCTGCGAACGTTGTTCTCCATCTTGGCACGTATGTTTGGCATGTCGGCGCGTATTTTCCCATGTCGGCGGCAGTCTAAACATGTCGGCGCCAGTTTCTCCATGTTGGCACGAATTTTTCACCTGGTCGGCGGACATCTGTATAATTTTTACATGTCGGCGCATAGTTCCTTGGCATAGTTTTCGCCATGTCGGCGGACATCTAGTTTTTACATGTCGGCAACCGACAAACCCCGCGACCGCAACCACCAAATCCCGAAGTTACTGCCAACTGCAGCCAAGCTGCCGAACATCAGGTTCCACACATCAGGCGCCGTGCCGAAGCTGGAAGTGATGTTGGGGATGCCCAAGCAGCGGTGGCAGGTGTAGACCTGGCTTAGAGGACAAGACACGAGGACTGTTTGCTGGCGTCTTTTGGGGGTTTCGATTTTGGGGCTTTGAAACGTTAGGAAGTCAGGGGCGGAATGAGACTTTCTGGCGTAAATTGTGGCATCAAAGGTTGTAATGTTCCACTTCAGTCCACACATCAAGCCCCTTCCATGCTTTCTGGGCTCTAGGAAGTTGCGTCTGATCCTCCTCCCACCTGAGCGAAAACCAACGACCAAACACCAAAGCAGCTGACCGCACGCAACCTACCAAACAGAGGCAAAGAAGACCCTTTCTTCGTGTACAAACAGAAACAGAAGAGAGAGGTGAAGACCAAGAGAAGCAAGGAGCATGGAACGGTACTTCTGCTCGATGAGCCCTGCCCACGTAAGCTTAGGCTCACATTATGTGGGCTCACGGATCGCCTCAGGCTCGTCCAGAAGGTGGACGTGCTGCCTCCCTACCTTGGAAGCTATCAAACATCCAGCCGTCGTCTGTGGAATAATGATGAGGACTATAAACGCCCTTTTTGTTTAAAGGCCCTAATTTCAAGATCGCAACTACAATCCTCACTTTCTTTTGAGTTTCGGGCACAAGGAGATCAGGTCTCGGCAGTTAGGAGTAAGATTATTCAAGCTGAGAACTTTAGGGTCTAGGATGTTCGGTTACAGGCCCCTCGGCCTGCGACTTGCCATGATCAGCACCACGAGACTATCATTCAACCGGTTCTCCTTGCTGGTCGCCTTCTCATTATTCACTTTCAGTTGTCAAGACATCTAGGCTCGATGCCTTCAGGTAAAGTTTTCGATTCAGGCAAGAGCTCACTGTTGCCATGAGCAAGAACGCAAAACAAAGAAATATAAGTGCTAAGCTCAAGGCAAACAAAGATACTCGAAGACCAACAGAGGGTGTGAGTGCAAAGCAAAAGCCCTGAACCCAAAACCCTGAACCCAAAACCCGAAAACAGCACAGCCTGGGAGGGCCCTGCAGAAGAGCACATCTTATGAAGACACCGAGCCAAAAGTTCAACTCCCGCGCTCTAAACTTCGTTGTCCAGTACCCTGGAGGAACTAAGCGTTAACCTGTGGGATTATACATAGGGTTTTCTACTACCGATAAATGAGGACAAATTTGACCAGAAACAAAAACCCTGAACACTTCTGCGGTGTAGGGTGCGGTTCTGGTTTTAAGTTTAGGACCCGAAACCCACGGCCGGGCTGCATTCCGACCGAAGTCGACGAGCCGCCGGTTGCCCCAAGGCTCGGCACGGACTTCGCGCCCATCCTGGCAAAATCTCCGAACTCTTCACCGGGGTCCGGTACTCTGGCGATGCGTTTCCTAATTCCTTGCTTTTATCGAAAAATGACAGATAATTCCTGAGAAGCACCCCGGCTCCCAGGTAATCGATGCAAAAGAAGGAGAGTTTCTTCGGCGGAAGGGTTTGTAACACCCCGAAAAGTTTTAAGGGCTACCTGTTCAACCACAAAGCAGCAGCTGAATCTCGGCAGGTGCATGAAGCGTAGAGCTTGGCAACGAAACTCCATGCAGCCAGAATCGGAACCCTAGAGCTAGACGGCATGATTCGGGATCCTGCCTTTATATTCGATTAGGCTGAAATTAACCCTGAAGCCCTCCGACCTTGAAGTTGAGCGGCGGCTCTGCCAGAAGCAAAAACGTGGCGCTGACGATCGTCGGACCCGCCCCACCGGTTCCCGCCGTATAGAAACACATCTCAACATCCTCAGGGGCTGACGGTTTGTCGGGTTCCCTACGGTTTAGGGCCTTGGTTTCCAAGCGTTCTGCAGGTCTCGATGTAGGCTTTATGCCAAGTTTAGTGTTTATTAGAGGCGGAGCAGAAATAGGCCCGAAACGACGAATCAAAATGACACCAACCACAGCGATTGTCGCGATGATGAAAGTGGTGATGATGGTGACGATGAGGATGGTGGTAGAAAGCGGGACGACGTCACTGTCAAGACGAGAGCCAGGATGGTCTCCAAATCTAACATGATGACAGCATTTGGCGGAATCCCAAGACCCTAAACCGATTATCATGCTTGGTTCTTCCCACCTCCGCGCTGCCACCAAGTCGTTCGACAGCCTCGCACACCATCAGGGCCGAAACCTGGAACTGCCGATTATGAACACACTCTCTGTCTTCGTGCCTGTATGCATGCATACATTCATGCATGCATACATGCATCAACACATCATATATACATACATGCATGCATGCATGCAGACATACATACAGACATACATACATACATACATACATACAAACAAACATACATACATACATACATACATGCTCGCAGCTTAGACAAGCTGCAAGCATGTATATTCCTGCATGCACCAGCCGAGGAGCTCCCGGCCAAATTCCAGCAGACACCACCGCGGGGACTTTCGCCTCTTCCAGCTCGGGGCAGAGCCTCAAGCTGCGATCTTGGCAGACTTAGACTTAGACTTCATTTCTTTTGTCCCCTCTTTTCCGCCCGCAGGCTGCCCGTTAGTCAGACTTAGACTTCTTGGGCTTAGTGTCTCGGGAGTTTTAGGGATCTTGGTAGACTTAGACGTCAAGGGGCCTTGCTCCGCAGGCAGTTGGGCTGCGACACTCTAAGGATGACTCAGGGCTGGAGGTGTTTGAGATTTAAGGTGGGTTCTCCATTTTCTCGCGGTGGGTGGACGTTCTGTTTTCGGAGAATGGGGCACACACCTTCTGTTCCGGCGCTGGGGTCAGTCCTGTCACGTCAGATTGGGGCTTCGGGTTTAGGGTTTAGGGGCTTACGCCTGGACCACCGTACCTCCCGTGCACTGGCCCTGCAAAAAATGAACAAGTGCTCCTCGACTGCTCGTCGGGTGGGTTTCTCGCTCATGGGAAGGATGCTTTTCTCATCCTGCGCCAACTCCTGCTGACCTCCTAGAGCCACAAGAAAGAGGATTTGGTTATGGGGTGCAGGGTACTTTCGAAGTGTTTGGGGTGAAGATTCATGACCACAGCCAAGGCAAGAAAAGCAACAACTCAGGCCAGCAAAAGGCAAAAGCCATCGATCACACAAACTGGCGCGGCAAGGCCTGCACGGAACCAAATCACTCTCCCAATCGCCGAACCGCTTTGTAGCTGCCAAGGTATATAACTTCAAAATGGCTTTAAAGAATGCCTGAAGCAAACCCCCAGACTGCCTTCATCTGTGCCCAAGATGTTGCTGCACTCTGCGTCTCCACCCTAATTCAGAAGCCCTAAACCCTAAAAGAACACGCAGAATCGAGCAAAGATGCTCTTTGGCTGTCTTGCAAAGCTCGGTGTCATCACAGACATCCACATAAGGCGTCCCGGACTTTAACGCCTCTCGGTCAATTTGGCTTCAGGGTTTTAGGGTTCAGCGTTTAGAGATTACATAGGGCTTAGAGGTGTAGGCTTAGGGTTTAAGGGTTCAGTTCATTTGTTTGAAACCTCTTCTCCTCCTGCATGGTGATGAAGTTGGAATGCCGATTCGGGCTGAGGCAATGAGCGAGGGGCCCACTGCTGTTTAGGGATGACCACCTAACCACTCATCGTTCCCCCGTACTAGCCAACACCTACAATTGCCCCTCCAGATTACAACGGCAGCCGAACTTCTGAAGCATCCTCTGCACACTTACAACATCACAGTTGTTCCAGTAAGACACTTGCACAGAGCAGACTGCTTCTTCTGCTGCCAACACCACAAAATCAATTCATGCACACACGTTTCAGACTAGTGTCTCAGACGAGTGTATCTACTCGGTCGCACAGACCACAACAGCAGCAATCCGAAACACTCTCAAACTACATGTCACAGTAGGCCTCAACAATATGATACACCCCTCAGCATCACTCCCACTTCGCACAGCACTCCGAGTCAAGCACAGTCTCTGTTACAGCAGTGCAAACGGGGTTCAGGGTTTGGGGTTCAGGGTTTTCAAGTCTAGAGTATTTGTGGGCAGCGAAGGGGATTCTGGGCTTTGAGAACTTTGCAGTTGCGGTCTGGGGGTACGCAAACTTTTCGGCCTAAATGCATCAAGGTTCGGCACACCGCTGCATTTTCCATGTTCTGATGCTAACTCATGCTAAACCCTAAACCGTGAACCCTCACACTCATGGAGTTTGGCAAACATGTCCCGTCAGGTTTTGGATCAAGCCTCAAGCTGCGCACCACTGTGGAAGCCCAGCCCCGCAAACCTTCAAGGCCAGAAACCCTACGAGAGCTTAACCAGTAGGAATAGCAGTACAGGCTCTATCCAATCCTATTTTTACCGCAACACAGCACTTTAACGACTGCTGTTCCTAAAGCCAGCGTAAACACCCTCGGAACCTGAAGCATTCCTGGGCTTAGCAAACACCTCCCACCTCTTCCAAAAGGAGCGGCCGCTGGATGCCCTGAAAGGGCCCAGCGGTGTGCACCAGAAGGTCCTTTGCACCGGGGCTACCAGGCTACCAAAAAAGCACACGAAATTTGAGGGCTTGTGCCTGGATGCTTTCGGGTAAACACCTGTTGGTCTTTATGGCTTTAGCGCATTGCAGGAACTTTGCAGGTCTCGAAACCTCTGCAGGAAAAGGTGGTTTCGGTTGTAGGGTTTTAGTTTAGTCGACCCGTAGCCAGGTTTTGAGTCCTGAGGGATTTGCGGTCTAGAGCTTTAGGTGTCAGGGTTTCAGGCTTCTTGAGCTTTGGAGAGCATGGAAACTAGCCGAGTCGAGGCTTACAACACAAGCCCAAAGACCTGCTGGTAAAAGCTGAGTCTTGGGAATTCGGGACTCCACAGCTTCACGAGGTATCGATTTCAACAGCCCCCAGATTCTGCACAGCTCGAGCTCCACATTCAACCAGTAAGGGAAGTTAGGAAGTATCAATAATCTGTACCAAGTTCAAGAGCAGCGATGGCTCCTTAAAATCCGGACGGTTCATGGGAACCCGTATAGGAACCTTTACCCAGACCCTCGGGAGGATCTAGAAAGTAGATCCCCATAATTTGGGGCCCTATACTACTAAGCGTACTTTATGGGAACCCCCATAATGAAGGTATCTACCTTTTGGATCTTTTCGGGGGTCTGGGTGTCGACTTTAAACTAGGATACCCAGTAACCTAAGAATAAAAAGGCATCTCTTTTTGGTATTGGGTAACTTTATAAGGAACCTAGGACTACAAAAAGGGAATAAGGGTACTACTGGGCATGCTAGCCCCTAATTTTCGGAAACCCTAAAACCCTGTATAGAACCCTTATAGATCCCTTTAAGGAACCCTTATAGATCCCTTTAAAGGGTACTACTAGGAACCCTGAAGCTGTCCCCAAGAAAGCGTAAGGCTGAATTTGTCCCGGCTCCCAGTCTCTGGCGTTTAGCACCTCTCGAATCGAGTCCCGGTTGGTGTGGTCGATTTCTACCTCTTGAGGCTTTACCTTAACCCTGAATAACCTACCTTTTTAGGGTTCCCTACTATGATTTCCTTATATAAGTCCGTAAAAAAGTAGGTTCTTCAGGGTTAAGGTAGGGTTTAGGGGTTGAAGGGTTTGGGCTGCAAGGGTTTAGGGTCTGCGGTTTAGGGTTAGGGTTCTGCTCCAGACGCTGCGTTCGTTCCGGGATGGGCGGTTCGTGAACATCAGGCTGCCTTATCGGGGTGAGGGAGTATAGGATTCCATACCGGCTCTACATTGGCTTCATCAAGGCACCCTAGGCATTCCGTATACTGAGGATCCTACTCATTTAGGTTTATATGACAGACATTCACTGTAGTCGAGGGGGAGGGCTGCCATATTCGCAGATGAGGTTGTCGCTTTACCGCGAAAGGCCTTCAGGAGGGCACAGAGCGGACTTCCTGATTCAGTGGATTCTAGCAGTGGCATCTCTCTCTTGTGTGGAACGTCTGGCATACGAATAACCAGGGCATCATCAAACACGGAGTTTAGCCGAAGAGTCGAACCCTGGACCCTTTTCGGTGATCAGATCGTCTGCTCTGTGTCAAAAGCTTTCCGCAAGATTGACGACTGCGTCTTAATATTGACTTTGCTCTGACCCCAAAGCCAACGCTGAACCCCAACTAAAAGCCTAACTAAACAACTAAACCCTAAGCTCTAAACAGAAAGCCCCCAACGAAGCCCGAAATATGACCCGAAACCCCCAAGACAGCTTACTGCAGTACGCAACCTCGTTGTGTACATAAATGAAACCCTGTCAGAGCGCGAATTGCGGCGCCGCGCCGCACTCCTCCCCTGGCCATCGCTGAGCGAACTGCGCATAGTTTTCGCGGCTGCGCCCGGCGACCGCCAGCTCAAAATCCTCGGCAAACAAGCAATTCATATTCGTTCGTAGATAGGGTATAGGGCATGCATTAGCTCAGTCATGATGAGGATAGGAATGCTGGGGACCATGACATGGGGGTCTGAGCACGATGATGACGCTGCTGATGATGGTTATGATGATCGTGATGATGATGTTGATGATGATGGTGACGATGGTGACAATGATGATGTTGATGATGACGGTGATGGTGGGGATGATGGTGAAGATGGTGAAGGTGACGGTGAAGGTGACGGTGATGATGATGATGATGATGATGACGACGACGAAGACGGCGGCGACGACGACGACGCAGAGATGTAGTAGCCTGAAGAGAATTATATAACACCCCTCCTTCTTTCAGATGCTGCGTGTGTGTGACTCAACATGATACTGATACCGTCGCTACTAGCGATTCTCTCATGCCAGTTTCACTGCCAGAGGTATGTTTCGATTGTGACGATCCTGAATTTATCCAGAAAGGGACCATGACAGGAGTACTTAAACGAACCTGAGAAGTGCTCCCCCTTACAAGAGTCATTGAAGAAATCCTTATAGGAACCCTGAATTAAAGGAACCCTAAATCCCAACCCCCAGACCCCCCACCTCCAGTTTCTCTTCCTCCGCCAGCTTTCTGAGCCATCGAGCGGTGCTTCCGCCCACACGGCCGGTGCCACCGACCTTTTCTCGTCGCTTTAAACTTCTTTAGGGCAGGGATCAAGGGGTTTAGGCTTTAATTGGGATTTAGGATGAAGGGTTCAGGGCTGTGCTTCGTCATAGTAGCGTGGAGGGGTTTAGGGCTTAGGAGTTCAAATCAGGGGTTTAAGGCCTTAAGGTTCTATCGTTTAGGATGTTCTGCTGCCGGCTCCGAAGAATCGAAGCACGGGGTTTGGTCGAAGTTCCAGTCGGGAAAGACTCGGATGTCTCCCAAAGGCACTTGTCAGGGGGAGCAGCGAAGCCCGAGACCCTAGTTAGGAACCCTGAAACCTAAACTCGAGGTCAGGTGGAGAGCTTCTGCAGCTCCGCTCGCACTGTGTTTCTCTCTCTCTCTCTTTCTCGCTCTCTCTCTCTCTCTCTCTCTCTCTCTCTCTCTCTCTCTCTCTCTCTTTCTTCGTCTCTTTCTCCTTTTCTGTCTCTCTCTCGCTCTCTCCCTCTCGCTCGCTCTCTCTCTCGTTGCCTTGCCCTCTGCCTGGGGTCCCTCTCGTCTCGGCCTCGCTCGCACGATCAGTTGGCCCTTCACCCTCTAAACCTCAACTTCAAAACCTCAAAACCTAGAGCCCATACTTTCCCTGCAAGAATCCCCCGCTCTCGACCAGGTGAACCCAAGCCCATCCCGTCAACAAGTGTCCCAGTGACGACCAGCGCTGAGTACGCAAAACGGCGCACTGATGGCTCTCGTGTCCTGAATGCTGGGCTTCACCGCGTGATAAGCGTCGGAACTGTACGCGCGACAGTTTTCATTAAATCCTAAACGCTCCACCCTTAACCCTAAAAACCCCTGAACCCCATATGTTTGGCCTTTTTGCACATCATGATCATAGCCCTGGACAGCTCAGCTGGAGACAAGACTGTCAGAAACACCACGGCTTGGGATGAAAGCCCTGTACCCAACGGTCCCTAAATCAGTGGAATTCTGGAAAACAATACAATGTACCACAAAGCCCGAGTCTAACTACCGCCCAGTATGGAAGCATTTGTGCTTCAAGTCATAGCCCTGGCCTGTTGAAGGAGAGATCGACATCTCGTACAGCTTTTGATTGTTTTGTACAGATGACTTGGCTTCGAAGTGTAAACAAATAATATGTGGTCCACGGTTTTGGGGCCCACTGTGCTATAAGTAGAATAGGGAGCCCCCAAAAATGTTGTAGGTAACGATGAAGTCCCCTATGGTAACCCAACACCCTCAACCCTGAACGACTGTAAAACCCAAAGGGTCCAAAGTACCGATAAAGTAGAATGTAGGGTTTCTATATTAGGAATTACTATTATGCTTTGGGGAAGTATTCCCCATAACAGTACATAGGACCCTTTGGGAAACCCACAAACTGCCTCCTCGTCGCCAGCAGCCCAAGGCCCAAAACAGCAAACGCCCGGCGATGCGGCTTCGGTGCTTCGCGGGTCCCCCGAGCAGAGCCCGAAGAAGAGGCTGTGCTCGGAGGGCCCACGAGGTGTGTAGGAAGCTTGCAAGCCAGCGGGAGCATGGCACCGGATAGGGTTTAGGGAGGGAAACTGTTGGGGCCTAAGTAGCTATGCGAGGCTAATCAGGTGACGTTTAAAAATAATGTAAAAGCCAGAAAAATGGAATATGATTATCCTAAACCCTTTATGGTATATTATAAGGTATCCTACCCTGAAACCATATCCCAACTTGCTGGAGTTCCCTTTAAGGTCTCTGTAGCTTTTACTGGCACCGTGGGACCAGCGTTCTGGTCATGGTCAACCCTGAACCCAGTAGAACCCCAAACCCTAAACCGCAGGCTTGGGATCCCTCTAAGTTTTAGGGGTACTTTAGGGTTCCATAATAAGGTCTCCTTGAAGGTTAAGCCAGATGATCGCTGGCTCGCTCAGAAATGGAAGGCTCGAGCATTGCTGACATGCAGCCAAAAGCGGCGGTGGTAGTAGTGGTAGTGGTAGTGGTAGTGGTAGTGGTAGTGGTAGTGGTAGTGGTAGTGGTAGTGGTAGTGGTAGTGGTAGTGGTAGTGGTAGTGGTAGTGGTAGTGGTAGTGGTAGTGGTAGTGGTAGTGGTAGTCGTAGTCGTAGTAGTAGTAGTAGTAGTAGTAGTAGTCCTAGTAGTCCTAGTAGTCCTAGTAGTCCTAGTAGTCCTAGTAGTAGTCCTAGTAGTCCTAGTAGTACTAGTAGTACTAGTAGTACTAGTAGTAGTAGTAGTAGTAGTAGTAGTAGTAGTAGTAGTAGTAGTAGTAGTAGTAGTAGTAGTAGTAGTAGTAGTAGTAGTAGTAGTAGTAACAATAATGAAGATGAAAAACCATGATGGTGGTGGTGCTGGTGGTTGCACTCTTCGGCCAGCTGAAAGCCTCGGTTGTGTTAAGGTCTCGGGAATAGTCCCCTGCGACATGTTCCGACTGTCTATCACTTCTCTAGTCCGACCGTCGCTGCGCCCACACGTGCAGACAACAGAAGCCTGAAAACTTCATAGCATGCCCCAAAACCCTAAACCCTTAGCGCTAAACCCTAAACCCTAAACCCTATCCTAGTTCTGATTACTAAGGCCCCTGTAGTACGTCTTGTGGACTGCCATCCGGAATTTCATGGATTATTGAAGCTGCATCATGGCATTAGCCAAGTTGGCTAAATGTCCTACGGCCTATACCTTAAACTAAACCAAGCATGCCACGCAACCCTGTTATCTTCAGTATGTTTCGAGTTGTTTTCACGTGTTGTAAAGCTGCAGCAGCTAGCCAAAGCCTTAGGCAAGCCAAAAGCACCTGACAAATGCAGAGTGCAGTTTAAAGCACACCGGGCTTGCAACTTCTGGGGGCGAACTCGTAGCTTACCAAGCCCGGCGGGGCAAAGCCGATGTAGCCGTGGTTTGTAATCTGCTTAATATGCGACCGTACCAAAATGATGATGATTTCTATAAACATTCCAAAAATATCTGAAAAGTAGATACTGTTAATGATAGGTTATATGTCGAAGCTCCTAAAAGCTAAGTCGGCCACTGTAAACGGCAACGATAACTCCAAACAACCATTTTCATCCACCGCCTTGGATGGTTTCTACAGTTCTTGCACGAGGGCTCCCTCACGCAGCGGGGCATGCCGCTGAGATTTCTCTAAACTCGTTTAGCAGTAGATGTAGAATGTAGAACTGTCTGGTACCAGTGACATGAAAATGCAGACGCACTGCGACAGCAAGACAAGCCCCGCAATGCAAAGATGCTTTGAGAGAGCCTGCCGAGGTGCCGTCTGGCACCTCAAGGTGTGAAACCTACTTTCATCGCCACCAAGCGCAGGAAACCCGCGCGAGAGAAACAGCTGCATCAATAGACACTGTAGCCCCAACATACCGGTGCAAGAACAGAAGTGGTTATGTATGTATGTTCGTACATACATATATATATATATATATACATATATGTTTGTCAGTGCATGTATATGTACACACATATATATATATACACACACACGTACCAGTTTGTGGCCGCAGCCTCAAGACGCTACCGTCTTAGCCTCTGCCTCTGTACATGTGCGTAGATCAGGCCTTAGCCCTAAACCCTAAACCCTAAACCCTAAACCTTGAACCTTGAACCCTAAACCCTAAACCCCCGGTTCGGAGCTCATCAAATCAGCTCGGCTGGCTTATGTCGACCTCAATCCGAACAATCGGGTTTAAGGTCTAGGGTTTCGGGGTCTACTTAAAGGATCATGGGACTTAGTAAGTACAGTTGTAAGTACCCTAACTGGGATTATATCCGCTTATAAGTATTGTTCCCTTATTTATAACCATAGTTACTAAGTCCCATGAACCTTTAAGTAGGGTTTCGGGGTTTAAGCAGGAGCCCATAGTTTGTGTGTGTTAGGGTTTAGGGGTTTAGGGGTTTAAGGTTTAGGGTGTCGGGGTCTACGGCTTTTGGGGGTTTAAGGTTTAGGGTTTCGGGGTCTACGATTTAAGGGTTTAAGGTTTAGGGTTTCGGGGTCTAGGGTTTGGGGCTTAGGGTTTAGGGTCACGTGTATGAATTCAGGAGGGTTTGAGGGGTTTTTTGAAGGGAATAGGGCTTCGGGTTAAGGAGTCTCGCGTGCTTGGTGCCAGAAGCCAAAGCGCTTGTACCCCACGGCCATCACCCCAACATGCACCCACGGCACCAAGAGCAAATCTTATTCCCTGAAGCCGCTGCTCTAAACCCTTAACCTGAAACACTGAACATTAAAAGCTACTCCCTAAACCCGAAACGAGAATTTCCGAAAATTAGGGGTAGCATATTTTGGGATCCTTATAGTAAGGATCCTACTGTTTAGGATACTATACCTATACTCGGGTCCTCTATTTTCGGAAACTCCCTACTGGGGCTGAGGGTTTAGGCTAAACGATTTAGGGTTATTTTAAAGTGGGGGATGGGGTGTAGGCTTCAGGGTGTGTTTAATGGAGTTTAGAGTTTAGGGTCATGTAACGAGGGTTTAGAGTTTAGGGTTCCTTTATAGGGGTTTCAGGGTTTAGGGTTCCGTTGAAAGGGGGAGGGGGTTTAGAGTTTATGTTTATTTCTAGGGGGTTAGGGCTCAGGACATGTTTCAGCGGTTTGGGAGCCTTGGCTGTTGAAGCAAATCGGCAGGGCTGAGTCTTTAGCTAATCCTTCGGGCCCTTGGGCTTGGGCTGTAGGGTATCGGGATCAGGGTAGAGGCTTAAGGGTCTCCCTAAACCCTTTATAGAAACCTTATATAGATCCCTTTAAGGAAACCTAATGGGTCCCTTCAAGGGCGCCCCTACTTTTCGGAAACTCAATTTTAAAGGGAAAGGGACCCGAAACTCTGAGCCCACTCCCGCTTGGCTTTTTGAGGGCTCCGCTGACATCCGCAGAATCTTCAGGCAGGTGTAAAACTTGTCCCGTTCCAAGGGCTCCTCTAACGTCAGCGGCTTGAGGGGTTTAGGCGTTTAGGGTTCAGGGGTTTGGGGTTTAGGGGTTTAGGGTTTAGAGTTTGGAGGATCAGTGATCAGGGCCCGTAGTAAGTCAGCCCTAAACCCTTATGAAAAAGACAAAATCCCTCGTGCAAGTCGGGCTATCATGAGGGCCCGAATCGGGGGCTATCAGAAATCATAACTAGATAGTTACTCTTTTATAATCCTTATACACGGGCATCATAGTTGGACGATGGTACTGCAAAGATTCTCCAAGATATCTGCTAGGGACCTATAACATCTGTGAAAGTTTCTGATTCCTTTGGACATGAAACTCTCCACAGCACCAAGTGCTCTGAGCGCTACTTCAAACTAGACTGGCGCCATCACATCGAACTCCGTGGGAAACAAGAGTCAGGCACTGTTTTTACCGGGTATCAGCCTCATCTCCAAATCCTAAGAAACCAGACAACCCTACACAATAAAAACCCTAAACCCTAGCGGAGTACTCAGCGCCTCCAAACCCCAGTCTCGGCCGAACACGAGCACGCACTTTGGCAAAGCCCCCCTGGAAACATGTGCGTGAAAGACTGGCACTCCAAACATGAAGCCACAGCCCAACATCTCCACCCCCGGGCCCTCGATCACAAATCCTCAACCCTGAATCCTAAACCCTAAACCCTAATCCTCACATCCCAAGCCCTACCTCGTACACAAAAACCCCTAGATCCTCAGAGCCCGCGCCCTACCCTGCTGAAGAAACAAGGCCGAGGTCTGCGCATCGAAGACGAAGATTACCCTTCGATCTGCCTCGGAAAGAGTTGAGGTTTGGCTTTAGGCGCCTTGATAATTAAAACAAGGCTGTAAGTTATACTATACTAAATACTATACTTGTAGAAGGAACCCTATAGCGGGAACCCGATTTGGAATCATGCAGATTTCAATGCAATGTTAAATGCACGGAAGGCTCACTACAGCCGAACAAACAAACTTAAATGCACGCAGCCTTAGTCTCTAAGCTCTAAATTCTAAACCTTGGATCTTGTTCAGGTACCCCTATAGCTTGAGGAACCAATCCACGCCTTGGATGACTTGGTAATAGGGACCTTACCGTAATGATTAATTCTTGGAAAAGAGTTTTGGGCCACCTTCATAAAGAAACTCTCAAAGCCTATAACTATAGAACGCCTCCCTAAACCCTAAACCCCTAAACCCCTCAATCCTAAACCCCGAAACCCTTGAACCGGCACACCCCCAAACCCATCAACCCCTAAACCCCCTAACCTTTAAACCCCTAAACCTCAAACCCCACCCCCTCCTATGAAACCCTGAGAAGGGCCCTCAAAGAAGCCCTATAAGATTCCATCAAACTCCGAATGCTCTAGCTCCCTACAATTCTTAAAAGGGACCCTATAGATCCCTGAACCGTTAAACTCCTAAACTCCTACACCCTAAACCCTGAAACCCAAACCCTACACCCTAGACCCTCAAGAAAGAAATAAATGGAAATTGTTTGTCATTGTTGGTAACCACGGCCTCAACAACCACACAAAAAGCTGGCAAACACCAACACCCAAAAGCCTAGGACACCGATGCCCAAAAGACTAGGGCCGAGGGAAATCCATTTTGCTCAACCTTAAACATTTCGTCAATTTCAGCTCGCACCCCAGCCCTAAAATCGACCCCCGACCCCCTAAATGGAATTGCAAAAAAGATATTACAGAATTTCCTCCTGTAATGGAGAACTAACTGACGAGTCCCAAACAATTGGCCCAACTTCCCCAGGACAGTCTTCTCCGACCGACAACAAACACACAACCAGCACGCAGCAGCTACCAAACGCCCAACTTTCCCAGGACAGTTTTCTCCGACCGACAACAAACACACGATCCAGCACACAGCAAGCTACCAAACGCCCAACTTTCCCAGGACAGCTTTGTCCGACCGACAACAAACACACGACCCAGCACGCAGCAGCTACCAACGCCCAGCTTTCCCAGGATCGCTTTCTGCGACCGACAACAAACATGCGACCCAGCACAAAGCAGCTAGTAAACACCCAGCATTCCTAGGACAGTTTCTCCAACCGACAACAAGCACACGACCCAACACGCAGTAGCAAACAACCGCCTAACTTTGCCAGGACAGTTTTCTTCTACCGACAACAAACACGCGACCCAGCACCCAGCAGCTACCAAACGCCCCAACTTTACCAGGACACTTGTCTCCGACCGTCGACAAACACACGACCCAGCAAGCAGCAGCTACCAAACGCCTAACTTTCCCAGGAGGGCTGTGCCAGCTTGGGCAGACAAGTTGATGTCCGGCTGCAATACCCAAACCTAACCGGGCTGCCGCAGTCCTGTTTAACATTGCACGAGATTAACCAAGGGATCAACACGTTGGAGCTTCAGAAGTCGGGCGAAAGCCTTGGAAGAACGCTTTGCATTCCGTGCCACGCCTGCTGCTATCAGCAGTTCTGATGCTACAGCAACGACGGCGGAAGGCGGATACTTTTTCGGACTGCCATTCGCAGCTTCCCAGCAAGCACCCGTCTGAATAGCACGAACAAGCATCCCGTCTCGCCTAGCATTCAAGGACGCAGACACAGCCTGTTGCAATCTCTCTGCGATTGCACCGACGATGCCCGGTACAGGCAGCGTATCTACGGACAGGATATAATCACGGTATTGCTGCATGGATTGCAAAACATGCTTTACTTTTGCTTGGCATCCGGTGCCTTACCGATGCTGTGGCGGCTTGCAACTCCGGAACTTCCAGCTCTTCGGCAGTCATTTTGGCAAGCCGGATCAACAGCGGGTTGTTCGACCACGAAGAGCGGTCCCCGTCGTATTCCACTCCGCGGATTGAAACAGCCCCTGAACCTTTGTGGGAGCAATATAAAACGTTAGTTGCTCCCATGCAGGCATGTGTGAGTAAACGCCTTGCATTCCACACTTGCACGTCTCAAGGCTGCATCACAGGGTGGCTCCAAACAGCAAACTCACCCAGCCACGTCTCGCTGTTGACGATGATGTGGCATTGGCGGTCCTGACGCAAGAGAATCGGAGCCAATTTATATCAGTGTCTCGGAATTATGCACCTGTTCAGTATACAGCTCCTGGCCCCCAACATATACCCCAAGGATTAGATACCGACATCCCGGAGGTGCAGGTGCCGGCAATCCGAATCTGTGGCTTGCGCTCGTGCGCACGGAGAGCGCCGGCGAAGCCCCGCGATCCCTATTCTGCCTCTGGGGCCTGGCACAAAAACTGAAAAAAATCCATCGACTTCGCTGTCTTCACTAAAATTTTGCCATTCGTCGCTATACCAAATTCTACCTCCGGCCCCTGGCACCCATTGCGGGGCGCTACGAAAGTGTTACCAAATCACTAGAAACACCAGCTCGCAGCTAGCAATCTCCAACGTTTTCTTGTGAGCTACTTGCATTGCAAAACATCGCAAGCCTTAGATGGGAAAGCCGAACAAAAAGAGACATATGCTGCCGAAGAAGCCTCGCAGGATGCAAAAACTTGTTGAAACTCAGCCCAGCCCCGACTCCCCCGGCCATGCAGCCCAGCTCAGTCCCAGCCCGGCCCATCAACTCCGAAATCAAGTTCAAAAAGGAAACCTGCTCAAAACGTTTCGATCAAAACTGTCGCTCAAAACTTATTGGCACCCAAACCCTTAACAGTTGTTATAAACCCTAAACCGTAATGAAAACCTTAAAGGCCCTTCCTCTTTGAGTCTCGGAGTCCCTGAAGCTGAGATCCCGGCCCGCGTGGTGTCCAGTGCAACGCAGTGCTGGGCCAAAACACCTACGGCCGCTTTTTGGGTGTTCCTTTAAGGATTTCAGAGTTCAGGGTTTACGAGCTTCAGGGTTTCGGGTTTAGGGTTATAGGGTTTTAGGGCTTAAGGCTTTAGGGTTTAGGGGTTTAGGGTTTGGGGGTTCCTTTAAAGGGGTTTGCAGGGGTTGCTATAGGGGTTCACATACGGGCTGAGGGCTTTGAGCTCTCTTAGGGGTTTAGTGTTTAAGGGTCAGAAAGTTTAGGCTTCGGGGGTTCTGGGGTTTTAGGGTGGGCCTGGGGGTTTGGGGCTTACGGTTCAAGGAGGTTTTAAGGTATGCAGCTGTTGGTCTAGAGCCATGACAAAGCCTACACTGTAAACCTCAAGCCCGGATAAGCATCTTGGGTTGCGGAAGTTGATGCATACCTCTTATCCAATGTGGTCTACCGAAGGCCTACCAGAGTACTGAGATCTGCGACGCTAAACCCTAAGCCTTAAGTTTGAAACCTAGATTCAACATCTTAAACCCTAAACCCTAAATCCTTCTTTGAAGGAGCTCTTTAACAACAAGATACAAGATTTGAAAAAAAACACGTACACCCCTGAGCCCAACACCTTAAACCCTTAAACCCTTAAACCCTAAAGCCCTACAGCCCTAAACCCCGAAACCCTAAGTCCAAAGCCCCACACTACGAGGGCCGGAGGATGGCGAGGCCTAGAGATGGCGCGTTCATGAGGAGCTCCGGCCCTTTGTAGATTCGCGTCAGGTCCTTCACGCTGAAGTCCTGGAAGGCTCGGGGCAGAGGGTTTTGGGCTTAGGGTTTCGGGGTTTAGGATCTTTGGATTTAGGGTTTAGGGGTAGGGGGTGTCACACATTGGTATTTGGCCGCGTGGGCGCAGCGACATCTCTGTTAGGGCATGCTGTCGAAAGTGCTGGTATTTGCATGACTTTCTTGGTTTGGAGTCAAGACTGGGGTTTATGTCTGAGGGCTCCTTCGAGGTAACTAAAACTTAGGGCACGCTTTTCAGCACACTCGGCTCAAGTGCGTGGCGAAGTCGGCCTGCTTACCCAGGTGGCAACGCCAGACAAAGCTGTAGACTGTCTCCAGTAAGCGCAAGCTCACCGTGCCATCTTGCTTACTCTTGACAGTGCACGGTACATATTTGTTTAAATACTCACACCAACGGGCTATGCACTGCGTGCCTGTCAAGTTAGCAAAATCTTGAGGACAAGCGCATGGCCAGATACGCGTGTGCGGGGCTTAGGGGTTTGCTGGTTACAGATTCTCTGGTTTCTTTTGGAGGGGGGGGGTCGATAGGGTTTAGGGTTAGGGCGGAGGGTTTAGGGTGGAGGGGAATTGGCAGGGCAGGGGTTAGGGTTAGGGTTTGGGATTGAAGGCTTGGGTATGTTTGGGGTCTAGGGTCTACGGGTAAGAGCTTGGGGTTTAAGGCGTTCTTCGGCTGAGGCTTTCGGGTTCGGCTTGGAGAACGCCTAAGACTAGTATTACTACCAGTAAGTGCTTAAGCCCTAAACACTAAAGCCCGAAACACCCTTGAATATAGCAATGACCCCCCCAAAAAAAGTCTCCTCAACCTTTAACCCTTCAACCCCAACTCTAAAACCCCTAAACCCTTAAACCCTAAACTTTTCACCCTAAGCCCTTCAACCCTACATCTCTAAAACCTAAACCCTGAAACCCTTAAACCCTAACCTGTTGACCCTAATCCCAAACCCCCATTAGCCCTCCGAAATCCTGCACTGCCGAGTCCGCCGTCGAACCATCCTTGGGCTTCAAGGAGAAGACGGTGAGATACCGATCCATCTGGCCGTCGGACTAGGGTTTAGGGTTTAGGGTTTGGGGTTTAAGGTTTAATTAGGGTTTTGGGTTTGGGGTTTAGGGTTTAATTAGGGCTAGGGTTTAATTAGGGTTTAGGGTTTATAGAAATTGTATAGGGTTTGGGTCCGCGGTTTTGACCGAAACGTTCTGACCGAAAGTTTTGACCGAAACGTTTTGTTGTTTGACTTGTCAGTTCGGAGTTTTCGCTGGGCTGGGCTGCTGGGCTGGGTTGGTGGGGCTGGGGTGGTGGGTGGGCTGGGTGGGCTGGTCTACGAAGCGTTGAAATTGTCTTGGATTTGGGTCCGGCGCTTTGAGCGAAAGGTTTCGTTGTTTTTTTTACTTGTGTTTTCGTAGTCTGCTGGGCTGCGCTAGGCCTATAGGGGCTGTGGGCTGGGCTGGGGCTGGCGATCGGCCTGAGTTGGGCTGGCTCTGGCTTGGCTAGGCTGGGTCTGGGGGGCTGTGGGCTGCAATGCTACCGCTGAGTGGATTGGGCTGGGCTGGCTGGGCTCTGCCATACTCTATGCCGTCAAAGAGCTGGGCCTGCGGCAGCCTGGGCACAAAGTCCAATAGCAAGAAAGATCATATTTGCAATTCCATTCTGTCTTCTGCCAAGGAGCCGGGCCTGAGGCAGCCTGGGAACAAAGAGCACACTACCTGCCAGCAGTGAAAAACACGCTGGGTCCATGCAGATTTGTTGGTACGCAACTATCCGTCTGCAAAACCCCGGCAATGCGCTGCTGTCTTTTTGCTGGTCGCGGTCCGCGCCTGTGCTACGCTACGGCCGCTCTGTCCTGGCCCAGCTTCAGAAAATCCGCACCGGTCCTTCAAACGTGTCTCAGTGCGTAGGTCGGGTGTGCCACAAGAAAGGCATCCAACTCTCCATCGCTCAGTTCTCGCGGCCGTTCCTCCGTGGAATCCAAGCAGAGGAACCGCCGTGGCACAGGCCTCAGGGCCACCCAGTGCCGACCCTCCAGGTTCACTACCGCACCCACGCAACTGTGGAGGTCTTCGACGGTCATGGCACGCAAGATGTCCATCTGCCAGCGCAGTCGCCCGAAAGCCTCCATCGCTTTGGTTCGCAGGACCATGCTCATGATTTCAATCGAATAATTCCCCTGGGGTTCCAGATGGTCCTGCATGTTGTCGCCAAGCTCGTAGTTCTCACGAAGAAATTCTTTGACGGCGCGGGGCATGTCGACCGCGTCAATGCAATGAGCACCGAAGGCATTGTTCAGAGCGTGGAGGCCACACCGGAGTGCTTCCTGACGCTCAAAGAAAACGCCTGCCGACTGTGTTCGAGCCTGTCCCCGGCCGTTCATCCTCGCCAGCTTGGCTGCTGGTGCAGCTGGCAGGGAGCTGTCTGTGGCTAGTCTCTTGGAAGGGATGGTGGCGGCAAGCAAGGGTCCGGCTCGCAGTCGTCTCACCCAGCCAGTGAGCCAATGAGACTCGGAGTTTGTTTCACTTCATCAGCTTGCCCGAGACAATCTGTGACCACGCAAGCATAGGCACGCACAAGTACGGGGCTTTGCTTCATGTTCATCGAAGCTTGTTGCAAAACACCATGACGTCTCTGTCATGGCGTTTCCGAGCCTTGCCCTGAGCATCGAAGCGCTTCAATGCCGAGGCGGGAAAAATTACGGAGTGAAACAGAGACCTCAGGTGCGTCACAACGGCTTTGAAGTGGGACACCTGCGACAGGCAAACTTTGTGCATGTCCCGGGCAATGGACGTGATCTGCTGGGGCCTTGCAGTCGTGGCTGAACGAGTACTCGAAGACGAGGGTGTCAATGCTCCGCCGAAGCTTGAGGCTTTTGAGTATCGACAGCTCTGCACCTTTCTGGGCGGTGCTTCAGTGCGCAGTGTCAACATGGTCTGTAAGCCGGGTGCTGTCAAGCTGCGATGTCCATCTTGATGGCCGTGACGATAGGGTTTGGGTCCGGGGTTTTGACCGAAGGTGTTGACCGGGTTTTGTTTTTTGACTTGAAGTTTTCATTTTGGGAGTGGAGGGCTGGGGTCCGAGCTGGCTGCTAGGGCTGGGGCTGGGCTGGGCTGGGCTGGGCTGGGCTGGGCTGGGCTGGGCTGGGCTGGGCTGGGCTGCAAAACTGGGGAGCTGGGGAGATGGGGAGAAAAAGAGCTGGGGGGCTGGGGCTGGGGGCTGTGGGCTGGGGTGGGCTGGGCTGGGGCTGGGGCGGGGGTGGTGGGGGCTGGTTGGCTGGACACGTTTAATGAAAATTTGAAACTCATGAAAATGCAGTTCGAAGCGAACTTAGCGCAATTTCTATTTATCCTGCTCTTGAGGGTTTAGGGTTCGGGGTTTAGGGTTTGGGGTTTGGGGTTTAGGGTTTAGGTTTTCATTAGGGTTTAGGGTTTGGGGTTTGGGGTTTAGGGTTTAGGGAGGCGGACCGTTCAGAGAAAGCGGCCTTACTGGTGTCTTTTTGGTTTAGGGTTCAGGGTTTAGTATTTCATCTGGCCGGCGGACGGTTCAGAGAAAACGATCTACCGGGATATGTTTTGGCTTAGGGTTTTAAGGTTAGGGTTGAAGTGGTTTAGGGTTTAGGGTTTAAGGTGGTTTAGGTTTTAGGGTTTAAGGTGGTTTAGGTTTTAGGATTTAGGGGTGAGTTTTTGATAAGCTCGGACTTACGGGTCCCTTTCAAGGGAGGTATTTGTATGAAGAGCTCGATTCGGAAATGAGAGCTCAGGATTTAGAATGCCAGGGTTCTTCTTGGGGTTTATAATTTTATCACGTCTTGTTGGGGGGACGGTCAAGAGTTCCTCTTAGGGTTCCTGTTACGGTTAACTTTAAAGTTCCTTCTTCAAAGGGGTTCTTCAAGGGTTGCATTAAAATTAAGGTGGGTTTTGGGGCTGAGGGTCTGGAGCCTGGGGGGTCAAAGGCAGATTTTGGCTTCGGGGCATTGGTGTTTAGTCGGAGGCCAGGACCATATGGTGCAAGAGACCCCAACAACCCAGAAGCCCTAAACCCCGAAACCCCAAACCCTAGACCCTTACACGCTCATTCCTAAAGGCCCTCAACCCTAAACTCTAAACCCTAAACCCTAAACATCTCTAAACCCTAAACTCTACTCTCTTCATCAACAACCGGTCCCCAAAAAGTTCAAACTTTCCAAAATGGAGCTAATAAATAAGGCCAGAAAGTTTAAAGTTCCCCCGTTCACTATCTAAGTTTAAGACTTAAATCCTAAACTCTAAACCCTAAACTCTAAACTCTAAGCCCTAAATCCGAAACATCTCCAAACCCTAAACTCTAAAACTTAAACCCTACACCCAAACTTGTTCGGGCAGTTTGGCTCTGAAGCTCTAAGGTCGCTGACAAGCCTGACACGAAGGCCTCTAAACACTTCGGGCGCAAAATGGTAGTTTCCGAAAATAGAGGTACCTTATTTGGGGTTCCTTACAATGTGGATCCTACTATTTAGGGTACTACATTAGGGTCCCCTATTTTCGGAAACCCCCAAATAGGGGCCTTAATAATTCGAACAGGGCTTCTTTCACAGGGCTCTACATAAGGGTTACTATAAGGGATCTATGAAGGTGCTATAATACAGGGGCCTTAATAATTAGAATGGGACTTTGAGGCCCATTATACTATAATTATGATAAGGACCCCCACAATAGTATTGGTAATTATTGAGGCTCCCATACTAAATCCTTATATATAATATCCCTTATGGTAATCCTTATAGACCCTTTTAAAACGAACCCTATGGGTAATTATTTAGGCCCCTATAGTGAGTCTAAGCTTTGGGTTTTGGCTTCGGTCGTAGGGTTGAGGGCTTCAGGGTTTTAGGGTGTCGGTCTTAGGGTTTCCAGCTACGGGCTGAGGGCTTAGGGGTTTAGGGGTTTAGGGGTTTAGGGTTTAGGGGTTTAGGGGTTTAGGGTTTAGGGTTTAGGGGTTAGGGTTTAGGGGTTAGGGTTTAGGGTTTAGGGGTTTAGGGTTTAGGGCTTTAGGGTTTAGGGTTTAGGGTTTATGTACTTCAAAAACAGCAAAGACTAAGAAAGGTGAAACCTCTGCTCCTTGAAGGCTGTTGGATTTCTCCCCAAGCCCCCAACCCTAAACCTCGAAGCCATGAACTCCCTTCAACCCGTAACCCCAAGCCCCATGCTCGCCCTTTCAACCCCAAGCCCTAAACCCTCTTCTAATACTCAAGGCCCCTATGCTAAACCCATATCGTAACGCTTATAGTACCCTTATAAAGCCCTCTCCTTGAAAGGAAGCCTAAAAAGGAACCTCATGTAGGAACCCCTTCAAGGAATCCTTGAAAGGAGCCCGGCGCCACCTGAAAGAAGTGCGGCGACTGACGCGTCGTTTCCGGGTTTACCAGACTCACAGGAATGCCGCTCACCACCTGAGAGCAATACAAACGCAAAAGCCCTGGGTAAAGATAACGGTTTCGATCGTCCTAACTGATGAGGTGATGATGATGATGATGGTGAGGAGGAGGAGGATGAACTGGAGGATGAGGACGACAAGGATGATGATGAGGAGGAGTGGTGATGATGTTGGTGATGGTGGTTATGGTGATGATGGTGATAATAATAGCAAAGATGATGATGATGATGGTGATGATGATGAGGATGATGAGGCTGATGATGATCACCTAATTTGTTGTCCACGGAATAGAGCATTTGAAAGTGAGAAGTCGATGGGCATAAGAAGTTTAAGGCAAGAAGGTTGACTGGGGTCTAGACCGACCGACGGCAAAGGTTTCATATGCTTGGGGCTAGGGCTTCAGTGTTTTATGGCTATAGGATGTAGGGCTTAACTGCCATCGTTTTTGGGCACAGGGCTTGCTGAAAGATCCTAGCTTCCAGTACTAAACGCTTGCTGACTGTCAAGTCATGCCGAACACACGTAGTGGAGGGCCCGAATAATTAGAATAGGGTTTGGGGTCTATTCTGGTAAATATGTGATAGGCAACCCTAATTAAGGAATTGTGCACTTATTATTGAAGGGCCTCGACATTATC